CTCCGCCATTGCATGCTGAGATACCAGCCATTCACCTCTGCCAGTGCTCGCAGCTCTTCTACATACTCGGCATGTTCCTTTTGCTTTTCAACCACTCGTAAGGAGAGGACATATTATTATCAAGCTCTCTGAGTCAATCATTTATGGTTATGAACCCGATCCTAGGGTTTGTGTTACAGATGGCGCCTACGCGCTTGAGAAAGCAGCGTGCCGAGGCTGCCGCTTTGTTTACTCAATGTTTTCCGCCAGTCGTCCGTGGGCGGTATGGAACGTTGTTAATTTACGTGAAGTGAATGACACATTGATTAATCCGGTAATTTACAGATAACAGATAAGATTGTTTGAGACAAAACCGTGACTTACCGCCCCACGGACGACGGTGAGGAGTCTGGTAATAAGGTCAGGGAGAAGGTCGTCGAGTACCGAAGGACAAGGCACCCGGGCAGGGCCAGGTTGCCGAGGTATTGACAAGCTTGGATCGAGCCAAAGTGCGCACCTGCTCTACTGCCTTGATGTCGACCCCTCTGACGTTTTTAAAGCTCCCTTCCCCTCGTGACAATCTGAGCACAGTAGTTGGCGCACGACCTACAAGCTGAACATATTTGTCGAACCCTGCAGGCTATATGCACGAGCTGAAAGTGGTAGAGAATCTCACGGGTTCGTGAGATGGCAAGCTGCGTATGTGGGTTCATTGATCAAGCTGTTGCATTCGCTGAGGACTTCGGATGCCAAGGCATGGAACCCCATGCGGCACCTGACTTTGAACTGTTAACGTTCGCTTTCTCTAGATCTCGCATTCGCAGCACGGATAGAGGTTGTAGCTTAGCCGCACGGTCGAGGTTACTGAACATAGTATGCAAGTCACACTCGCATCTCTACTGGTATGTTTGTCTTGCTCGCTGTATGCTGTGCACCTGTACACTCTTCTCCCGTTGTATTAGGTTCAGTCAAGATAACGGGCCAGCTGATCTTCTCTAATCGATGAGGCAGGTCTTCCTGGTCATTAGGATCTGGGTTCCCTTCATGCGCACTGGGCTCTCCACTGATCCTCATCGGTGTGCGCATATACCAAGCCATGTAGGTACGACATAGCATCTGAAGATCTGCACACTATATACACGAGTGAGGCACGGACAAACGAAGGCGTCTCCCCCATCTTCATAACCTTGCTGCGTACCCGTTCTCTCTCACCGACACTATGTTTGAATGGTTCAAGAGACCGGAAGCTTCTCGCAAGTACGTTGACTTGATCAGGGAGGCGTCGTCCAAGTGGGCAAACTGGGATCCGCCGAAGATTATTCAGGTGAGCGACTTTGTTGTCTGAGTTCATTTTCAGAGGCTGATCCTGTTCGAAATAGGCTGGTGACTTTGGCTATGTCGACAAGGCAACCGGCCTGTTTGAGCGGGCAGGGAATATCTACAGCCATCCCGAGACGGCCAAGATGGCGGCGAAGTACTCTGTGAGTGTCGGGCCCCCCGAAGACATCGTGGTCTTCCACTCGTTCTACGCGAGAGAAGTGAAGGGTGGTGCCAATGTCAATGCGTACGTAGATTCTAGCTGTCAATTCACCGATTCTTGTTGATTCGCTCGCAGGGGAACTGGGAGCAATGCGAACGTCAGATTTGCCGCAGAAATCAAGTTCGAAAACCATCGCGCTGCAGTCCTGGTTATGCACAATCCGCGTATGAGTGTGGTGCCAGATGAGCTCTACCAGGAGACTTTGGACGACGCGTCTCTCAAGGCTTTCTTCCAAGATAAGAAGCTTCTACTGGTTATGGAATCATTCGTCTGTGACGGTTATTTCATGTACCTGTCGAGCAAAAGTGAGTCCTTGCTGATGGTCGCGAAGGCCTCCTCCTGACTCCTTGTCACGTTTATAGAGGCGGAGTCCGTTCATGTAAGCCTGAACGCCGACGTCATCCCCGGGGGACTCTCTGCAGGCGCAAACGCCTCTTGGGCAACCGAAGGAGGTTCGGGAACGTTCCGTAGAGGCTACCGGAAAGCTGAGGAGGACACGTTCACACCACTGTATCGCCTCAAGGCCATTCAGCCACCGCCCCGTAAACGGCGCGAAAGCCCTGACCCCAACGCAGTCGAAGGAGATCGGCGAGTCTTCTGTCCAATGGCTACTGTAGATGATCTAACGCTCTCTGAATATCAGCTGGGATGATGTAGACGTTCCCTGGGACGCCCTCGACTCTGACGGAGAGGAAGAGCCAGAAGACGAGTTCTCAGTATGTAGATCAACATTTATTATGACTTCGGGATGACTTTGACATGCGCCTCCCTAGGATGCTGAGTGAAACCTCGATGGGTCGCCTTCGTATATGTACTACACGATGTCTTGCCCCTGGTGAATTTGCTCCCACCCGTCTCAATAATGCAAACTGTTTTCGCCTGAGCGGAAGCGTAAAGTTCTGCCCGCCACTCACAATTCGTCATGGCAAGGAGGCGCTTGGTCCGAGATAGACGCCCATCTGACCAAAGCGACCAAAGAACCCTAACCCGAGATCATTTTAGCTAAAGCCTTGCACAGTGGTATCCTGACCGTTTTCCTTTCCATTTTATGCCTTTAACCACTGTAGCAATGGAATTTTAATTATTATGTGAGGTGGAAACAATGCAAAGCCGGGTCAGAGGGCGATCTAATTTTTTTTGTTTTGTTTTCCTTTTTTGTTTTTGTTTTGCAAAACGTGTGCTGAAAGCTTTAAAATAGCTTGTAAAATTGTATATAGACCTATTCAAATGCTACAACAACACTCCAAATGTATTCATGCTATTATAACGTACCGTTGTGTCGTCTAACACACGAATCCAGCCAGCTTACAGCGTGGGAGGGCGCACTTGCCTGATTCGGCAAAATGCGCTCGCGCGCCATACTCGCGCGGGTTCGGAGCTCCAGAGGGTGCCCGGGCGCTCCTTCCCCTTGGGCCTGCTCCACGAAACCATTCATCCAGAGGTCTCCACTTACCTCGAATGCCATCCATGCCATCTTTTGGACCATCCGACAGCCCGTCGCCTGTCCCCAGTGCCTACCGTCATACCAAGGTCTCATCGTGCCTGCGAGATACTTCTCTCAAACGACCAGACGCGCAGCTTGGGGACGCCAACTTATGAACGGTAGAAGTTGTTGGTCGAAGGCATATTGTGGACTTGGGGCTCAGGTGCGCACATATACTCACTATCAGTTGGCTGCTGTCTGAAAGTTCACAAGATTGCCTCTGGATACCGCGTCGAAACCTCACGACAGCCCGCCCGCGTACATCTCACCCGCGCCGTCGCCAGGATGAGCTCTTTCGTGGCGATGACTGTCGTTGGTGAAGCAATCGAAGACGCGCAGTGCGAGCGCAACAAGGAGAGCGCTGTTTCTGCGATCTATGAGAACGTATCGCAAGAGGATTGGTCACGCTAGGCTTTGGGTTCAATTCGTTCCGAAAGGCCAACGAGTGCGGCGTCAGACGGCGTACGAGATGAACAGAAGGCTGAATCTTGAGGACGACAGGATCATACGCAACGCTAAGTGCGGCATCGTCGCGCCAAAGAGCAAAGTCACGAAGCTGCGTTTGGGCAGCTTGCATCCACGGTGCATTTTTGCGACGCAGCTCGAAACGTCGTACGTCTATTTGGCTCTTAATGCAGCTTTCGCTTCTGACCTAGAGTGTAGAGTCGGCGAGGTCAGGAAGATTGTTTTGCGAGGACGCACGTGAAGAAGAGCTCCTTGCATTTTGGTCGTTCTATCACGCCCACGGCTACATCTCAGCTTCGACCCTTTCCCAGCTTGCCGACTTGGACTTGAGCGGCCATCCTGGGACAGCTTCCAGATGTATGTACACTCTGTTCATAGGCATAATTGCCTCGTATTCAACCTATTTCACAGCACCAGGTACGTCGCGAGTCAAGTCCGAACTCGGCCGCCCGACACCTTCGCTTGGTGGCTCTCAGACTGGTCAAATCCTTCGTCTTGCACGTCTACAGCCAGGATGAAGAGCGCAACACGTAGGGGGACTGCACTGCTCAACACGAAGGCACCGCTAGTGATATTGACGTTCACCTTTCTGTTGCGCCCTTCATCGTGGACTTGGGCGACATGAAGCCCAGGCAGGGCCGCAAGTCTGTGTGGGCCTATGATGCATGCTACGACGCCGTCCATGTATTCTCCACTCCCCGAAGATACCATCCAGCAGCCTCCATTAGTTCCAATCACCGTTGATATCGGACCTCCAATGAGACAACGATGCTCCGAGGCCGATCCTCACTCACCTCCAGTACCCGAACATCTCCCGCCCCTTCCCCCGCCAAGGCATTTCTACCAGCTAACACGAGTCCGTTCTGGCCACAGCTGCGCCGAGCTGTCTTGCGCGCTCGGCGATCCCGGGGAAGAGGAGTAGAACGCGGAGGCGCCTGACCGGCGCACAGCCAGCACAGTGAGCGCGCCAGAGGGTCTCTCAGCGCCGAGCAGTCTGCTGCCGATGCCGATTTCTGCTACGACTGGCACAGCTCAGAGAGGACAGCGCATGGCGGCGGGAACAGCTCTCACTTCCTGCGGTCGCGCCTTGCACGACAACTGATGACGACAAAGTTGAACGCCGTCGGCAAGGGCAAGGCCGATTGCTGGTCACTTGTGCCCGGGAGGCTTAAGACGAACGGCAGCGGGTTCGCGCGGGGCGTCGGTTCAGGGTTTCGGTAGTATCGCTTTGGCGTCGGTTGCGGTCAGGCCTTGATGTCTGCTGACATGGCAAGCACACGCTGTTTCACGACTTTGACGTCTGCGCCACGACTGCCTTCGCCTTCATAGATTAGATAGACTAATGCCGCGGTATTCATGTCGTGCCGCGTCCTACATTGATAGATACTACGCATTTTATTTACAGACAACATATCCCTGTACTACCGAAAGCATGCTCAGGCTCTGCCAGTGCACGAAGATGTACAACGTCCCGAATACAGTATTATGTACGATTATCGCGCAAGCTCTCTAGATACCTACTCAACGCCGCGAAATTTAGTTTATACCCGTTCCCGAACACCACATCGTGCCCAAAGTATCCGGCGAAGCCCTGCCAGTCCGGCGGAACCCAACACAACCGCGTCCGCCGGGACGGCGTCAAAGAAAAGATCCAACCGTCCTCGATGTAGTACATAGGCCAGGTGCGACGCGGAAGCCATGGGAGCAGCGTCGTCACCTGCGCGTTTACGTCGACGGGGGCCCACAGCCGAACAAGTCGCTCTTCGTCGTTGACTACTAGTAAGACTCCGGAGCCGTCGGGGGACAGGTGAAGAGTGCGGTAGCAGGTATTTGGGTCGAGATCGAGGAGACAAGCGCCGGATTTGGCGTCCCAGAATCGCAGGGCGTTGTCCCGCGAGGAGGAAATGATAACGTCCCCAGCGGGAGTAAAGGTGATCGACCAGACCGGGTTGGCATGCCACTCGAGCTTGAGCTCCTGGATCGGTTCCCCTCCCTCTGCATTCCGCACCAGAATGAGACCATCACCATCTCCGGACGCAACACGTTCTCCGCTGGGAGAGAAGGCGACGGCGTAAACCAGGTCCTCATGGCCCCTACACGTCGCCAGAGATGCTCCGGTAGCAACATCCCAAACGACGACAGTCCTATCGTCGGAGCCCGTTGCGATACGTCTGCCGTCCACCGAGAAGGCGACGGAGCGCACTCTATCCCCATGTCCGACAAACTCGCGAACGAGCTTGCCTGTCGCAATGTCCAAGAGATGAGCGGAATGACGGTTTCCGGTTTGGGATATATTCGGCATGAGCAGGTAGCGGCTGTCTTGTGAGAACATCAGCGACGACGACTGGCCGCCAAAGCAGTGAGGCAAATATCCCAAGACGCCACTCCATATGAAGGTGCGTTCAAAGGAAACAGACCAGGGCACATCAGACGCCTCGTCCCCAGGCTTAATCTTGACACGGGGCAAACCGGAAGCAGCGTCCCAAAGAGCTATCATGCCAGGATATCCCAACGATGCGGTAAGGATCGTGCCATCATCTGGTGAGAACGCTCCGTAGTGCTTGTGATGTGAGGGTATGGGCAAAGGCGTGTATGCCCGGTCCCACGAATCGGTCTTCACCACCTCGATACCAGACTCGTCGTTGAGAACCAGTAGTGCACGTCTCGCGTTGTGAGAGAAAATGACTGAGGAGTAGCCCACTGCATTTTCGCCGAACAGCCTCGGCGAAATGGGCGGTCGATCTTTTTGCATGTTACTGTGGCGTGAAACGGGATAAACGCCGTTATCTGAGATTTATAAAGCAAAATAATAATAAATATGGGCTTACGGTGCAGCATATTGCGCCATAATGCGAAGTACTCTCCGCCCCTTTTCGCCGATGAGATTGGATGGGTTGTTGGCGTACGCCGCGGATTGCATCACGTCCCACAGCCGGAAAGTGTTATCATTTGAGCCAGATACGATGTGAGTCCCATCCTGGTTATAAACGACACCGGTGACATCGTTGGTGTGACCGGAAAATGTCTGTCGAACCTCGCCCCGAGCAAAGTCCAAGATGAGGACAGTATTATCCGCTTCGCAGGCGAGCACGTCTCCCTTTGAAGGAAAGCTGGGACTGCCAATCTCCTTGAACGATCGGCCTGACAGTTTGAGGTCGCGGAGGTGCTTCGCAGTCTCAACATCCCAGACTGACAGCTTCCCCAACTTGGAAGACGGCATTCTCGATGCGATCAAAACTTGGGAGCTATCTGGGGTGAAAGCAAGATTGCTACCATAGAAGCGTTCGCCGTCGGGAGTTTTCACGGCACGATGAGTGTACGCCTGCGCCTCCAGGCTCCACAGACAGACTTGGTGGGACGAGCTCGACGCCATCCAACGGCCGTCCCGAGACACCGCAATGGATGTGACTTCGCCCATATGTGCAGTCAGCGTTGCCAAACAGGCGTGTGTATCCGCATCCCAGATCTTGATAGAACGATCATCGGAGCCAGACACGATATGTCTGCCGTCGGGTGTGAAGACTGCGCACTTGACCCAATCCGTGTGCCCTTCCAGGGTGCAGACGAGCACGCCAGACACAGCAACCCATATCTTGACCGTTTTGTCGTCGCCAGCAGAAACTATGTGAGCACCGTTTGGGGAATACTTGACAGAGCGAACCGGAGAGGAGTGACCGGGGAGGACCAATAGTAGGTCGCACGTCAGCGCGTCCCAGAGGCGCATCTTGCCGTCACGTCCTGATGAGGCAATCGTCCTACCGTCAGGTGAGAAATCAACAGCCGTAACCCCCTGGCCTTCATGTGCGTCGACCGTGCCCAAGCAGGCATTCCACATGTCTGGGACACTGCCGAGGATCCTGACAGAGCTCCCTGCAAGCCACTGGTGCTCATACGTCCGTGCAAGCATAGTCTTCTTCGGGATGAACGGCATAACCGAATAGTACAGTTGTAGCGTTGAGCTGCTGATCGCAGGAAAGTAGCCGACAACCAGTTGTTTGCAGTCCTTCAGCAGAATGATGACGCTCCTCATTCGGTCGTCGTTACTATCCTGCCCAGAATCTGAGATGTATGAGTTATACTCGAGGGCAAAGCACACTCACCCTGAACTTCCGCTGGATCTCGGTGATGCCTGAGACGACATCCTTTAATATTCCGAGTAGACTGCAGGCCTCGAGCCAATGCAGCAGTAGGTTTTGCACGAGTTCAAGAAGCATGTCCAGGATATCATCTGACAGCTCGCTGTTCAACAGATGGGCGAGCCAGTGCCGACAGGCATACCGCAGGTGTGCCGGGATCGCGCTCTCCATGCGGCCAGGCATGCCGAGAACCTCGGTGTTGAGCAGCGAAGGGTCTCGGATGCCACAGATGTCTCGCTTCAGCTCCTTCAGCGCATCGAGACACCTTCGTAGCAGCAGCGTGCTCTGCCGCTGGAAGTCGACGGCGAATGAAGGATTCGTGCAGCGGCTCGGGTCAAGCAGGAACTCGGGGAAGGTCGGATGAATGATGCGGATATTCGCCGCGGACTCTTGAGTTGCCGGTACAATGAGCACAGAGTGGAGACCGACGAGTGTGCTGTATACGATATCGGTGGAGAGCCCAAGTAGCCGCGAGAGGTCGGGTGGGGAAAGGGAATCCTTTGCGACAGCGATCGTACCAAGGATGGTCTGGAGTCGTTCGGACAGATCTGCCGACACGTTAGCCAAGGCGGTTTTGAGCACCTCCAGGTATAGTCGGTCAAGCAGCTCATGGGAGCCGTGCGAATTTGCGGCGGTTATAAGCTTGGTCAGCTGTCCATTTGGATCGTTGAAGTGAGGGTCTTTAATGAATTTGGCGGCGGTCGCAGCACAGATGAACAGGCCGCCAGTCATCCTGCTGAGTACCTCGATATCGGCGCCGTCGGGCCAGGGCTCTGCTAAGCCGAAATACAGTCCGATATGTGAGAGGGACACCGAGAGATACTGCTTGATGTCCGTGGTGGTGACGGGCTGTAATTCGTCTGCGTGTAGGAGTATCTTGCGAAAAGCATTGCGGTAGCGGGGAGCGTCAAACACGACAGTAATGTGCCGTTCAGGCCGGCTAGTGACGAGGAATCGTAGCGGGGAGAGATTCTGTGCATGG